CTTAATGATCAAGAGTAAGTACTAATCATGGATTCGTGCAACCTAATGATCACGAAAGAGACACGAGCAGAACTAGCAAACATCAAGCATGTAAGACTAGCATAATAAAATACAAAGATGGTTACAAATGGCGTAAACAAGACAAGAACATTACCCTGCTGTCTTCCTCAGAAAAATTCTCTAGGCAATATTCGATCACATGTTGGCCGTTGCTGTTCTTACTCAACACAGCGGCACCAGGGCTCAGAGCTCCCATAATCAGCGACACTTGCTCTTGGTTAGTAACATACCGCAACAATTTCTGTACAGTGCGAGTCCTGTCACAAGAAAGATAGGAACAATTACCAAACAATTATTTGGTCAGCAATCTTAAAAGTTAGAACAATTACCAACACATGTACAAACAACAACGCAACGGACTTGTAACTTAAGTGGTTAAGAGCATTTACACAGACCATACCCGCGATTGTCCAGGGCAATACAAACCAGTGACGTATGACTCTCCATTATCAACTTCGAAAGCATACGGGTCCTCTGCTCTTCATTGCAAACCTCCACAAGCTTCTGGACGACATAGTTCCCGTGAGGGTCAAGCATCAAAACGACCACATTTTCCATAACCTCCAAGAATATCAAATCAATCACATCCCTGTTCGGTGCAACATCCATTGTTTTCTGCAGAAAACGACAGCCGTACTGCTCCTTGGCCAAAGCAGCAATTTTTCCGCGCAAATCAGCCAACGACAACCGATCCAGTGTTTCACGAAACCCAGCAATGTCAGAATGCACCCAGCAATCTTGATTGGGAACAAAGCCATTCGAGCCATTAGTAATATCAGAGTCCACCCAGCAATTTTCAAGACCAAGGTTCCCAAAAACCCCATCCCCGCCCTTCTGCAAGCTCAGAGCACTCTGTAACGACTCTCCGCCGCCAAAAGGCAACGAATTTCCGCCGCTATATCCGTGATCGCTTGATGGGTAGTTCAGCGCAGACCCATTACTGTGATCGCCGCCGTCAATGCCAGAAATCCGCGGCTGCTGGCGGCTGAAAGCTGACACATTTAGGCGAGAAAAGGCAGCCTCCAGGGTTTGATCAGAATGGGATTCTCCCCCAATGTGGTTCTGCGACGATGAGCTTCCGGGCACACATTCCGACGACGAAAATTCCGGAGCCCAAAGCGACTTCGTTTCCGGGAAGCACCGAAAACCATCCATTCTCCGCCTCAACAGGGATGAGATTCCGACTCTGGAGTCTTGACAGAGAAAAAAAGCTTCGAACTTTCGGAGGTTTTTTGAGAGAGTGGGGGATTCTGAAATTGCGATGGGGGAGAGAGGAAGATTTTTAATTGGGGGGCAATTGAAAAAAAAAGGGGAAAAAGCTTGACCAGTGAGAGACTGAAATGGGAAGTGAGAGAGTTTCAACAGGGGTGTGAGTTTGCATGCAACTTATGGAAAGTTTTCATGCGAGAGAGAAAGCGTGAACAGGAAGAGAAAAAAGTGGCCATATCTCTCTCTTTCTCTCCGTGTACGCGGCGTATGTCTGTCACCTCAAACATTGGTCCCCAAAATAAAATATTAAAAAATATTGGGGTCTCATTGACCAATAGGATCATTGTACTTTGAAGGCCTTGTACTTTCTTTCTTTGTGAATTTCATTCTTTCTGTGTATGTTCGTTTGTTTGTTTTTATTTTTTTATTTTTTAAATTTGTGTGCGAAAGAAGAGAGAAAAATAAGAGAGCTTTTCGAGTACGTTTGTGGGGAGGTATGAAAAGTTTTTTTTATTTTTTAAATTTGTGTGCGAAAGAAGAGAGAAAAATAAGAGAGCTTTTCGAGTACGTTTGTGGGGAGGTATGAAAAGTTTGAGAGAAAAGTTGGGGTGCTTTTAACCGGTTGACAGCAAGAACTGTTGCATATAAAGTGTCAGACATAAAAGAATGGTCATCTTAGGATCTTGTGATCGTCATTGTTAATCGTATATCGTGTGATCATAAATTTTTTAAAATTTTTAAATTTTAAATTAAATATAAATACTACTTAACGAAAATTGATTGCATAATATACGATAAATGATCACGATCGCAAAATCCATCCCTAAGAAAATGATCTTTTTCCCTTTCTAGGCTCTGCTTGAACGCATACCCTCCCCGGATGGTTGACGATCATTAGTTTATTACACCGCCTCCTTTTCACTATTTTCATTAATAAATAATAATAAAAATAAACAAAAAAAAATTACTGGCTAGGGACTTAGCCATAACCCACAATGACCAATTGATCGACGAAATTTATAATAAAGATAAAATGAAATGTCACAAGCATAGAGCAAAGTTTGCAACTGTAAACCACATGTGACAAGCATAATTATCTGTTTAGCTACCTGATATCCTTCTCAATAAATATGTATACATACAAACCGCATTTGACAAAAACGCTATAAAAGAAACAAAATGGCCATCAACAATTTTTCCAGTCCATATATAAAAAATAAAATAAAATAAAATAAACCGCTTTAAGAGCCTTGAAAATTAAATAATGAATCATCATGCTTCCGATCTTTGACTGAAGCTATACGCACAGTAGTACTAGTAGTTTGTCTCACATTCTTTCTTGAAATAAGACGAAAATATAGGCCTCTCGGGTACGTTTTCTGAGTCAATTTCCAATGATAAAAGACTTGGTACGGCAGTGAGTCTTATAAGCTGTGAGTAATTGATGTTCATGTTGTTCAGAGGAATTATTGCATGTACTGCTTACTTTTCAACTTGGTAGTCCAAAGACTAATGCCAGTGACAGAATGGATTCTACATATTTTTGATGTTATAGGTCTCACTTCATGTGAAAAAAGTCGAGATGAAATCGGAAGTAAAAATAAAACGTTGGTGTCTCTTGTATTTATTGATTTATCACATTGATTTGTGCGATGTTGTTGGTCTCTAATGCAATGATGTGTTGTGCGTATCAAGTTTGGTAATACAAAATTCAAGGTAAAAGTTGAATTATTAAGTATGAGTAAGACTAGACGTACTAACTCTTTTTTATTGTTTTTGTAAAGTGCTGAGACCTATAAAATTTTGAGATCATATAGAATCGGCGGGATATCTAGCATCAGATCTTAACAATTTGCCTCATGTAGAATTCTTCTAGGCATGTCAAATGTTGAGTTTTACAATATGGTTGTGTTTAAAGATGCAGTCCGCATACCAAGTGTCAAATTGAGACCCTCCTGCAATCGGTCTGTCGATCTACAAAACCGTTGTTTGCTGCTTAAAACTGATCATTTCATTTCAAACAATCATTCATTGGTCCTTATTTACCACACACCAAACTGCTTGCTTTCTATTGGGTTTAAAAAAGATCGACAATGTTTCCCCTTGTTTTTCGGCTTGCACGGTTGCAACCCCATCATACTATAAGTAAGAACATCCACAATTCAACCAAAATTATCAGTCAATAAAAATTTTCATGTTTTCACATTACCATTTGAGGAAAAACTTCATACTTGACTAGATCGTACTAAATGAAAAAACTTTTTGACTAAAGGGTTAGAGGGTTACATACTGTCAGATATTCAAAGAGACATTTCACTAATCTATTCTTAACCATATCGATATTGTTCCAACTTAACCATCTATTACTAGGTGTTGAGTTTTATTACAAAATATATCAGTGTTTTTAAAAGTAGAACTATATACGTATATATTGTATTTTATTTTCTCAATTCTCTGACGTGGGACTTATATTCAACATATATTTGTTCTGCAACTCGGAAAGGTTATAGTACCCTTGCATTGGAACCGCAAGCTAAAACCTTCTTGAGGAGGGTGTAGAAGTCTTCTCAAAGAGGACTCTCTAGCCTTACAAGTAAGAGGGTTAGATAGTGTCAAATATTTGGAGAGACATGTCAATGATTCACTCTTAACCTCATTGATATTCTCCCAACTTAATCATCTATTACTAGGTGTTGAGTTTTATCACAAAAATATCTCAGTGTTATTAAAAGTAGAATCATACACGTATATATTGTATTTTATTTTCTCAAATCTCTTATGTGGGACATATTCAATAGATATTTGTTCCGCAACTCAGAGAGGTTATATCACCCTTGCGTTGGAACCACAAGCTAAAACCTTATTGAGGAAGGTGTAGACTCTAGCCTCACCCATGTAACTTACACGCTCGAATAGTCAAATACAATACAAATACGACTTATGAGTAAACTACTCAAATTTTCTTGTGTTATGCAAAGGTTTTTTTGTTTGTTGATCTAACCATATTTTAGCACGAGCACATCGTATGCATGTCGTAATCAGAACACTTTCGTTATCATAATTATAGCATAAAAAATTGTCCCGCAAAATTTGGAAATCGTTTAATCGATTATGTACGGAAGAGATAATTTAGTTTTGAAACCATTCATTAAGGTCTACAAAAGGTGATTAAATTTGTCTGTATAAAATTTATTAAACTAAACTTTTAAAAGGTCATTATATTCGCACATCAATTTACAAAAACCATACAAAAACAGTTGTCCAAACTTCACTTCCTCATTTTGTATTAACCCAGCCTCTCAGAGGTATAAGAACTTACCGGCGTCACCATGGTATATGATAAAACTGTCACCTCAAGAATAACAAAGCAATTCGTTCTAATTTCTAGAGTTTAAAAAGAGGGGAAAGCTACATCTGTTAGGGTGAAGGAAATTCATCCCGAATGTTGCAACGATGCTTTGTCCGTCCTCTAATGGAAAAAAGAATATGCTGTTCTCAATTTCGACCCGTGCAAAATGACTCTGTGTAGCTCCATTTTGCAAAGGTATTCAGTTGTCTGAATTTGTATACTCGCTTTAACATATGCACCAAGGTTAAAGAACGTGATGTCGAAAGAATGCTTCAGTCCAGAAAGAGTAGATCAGAGACCTCATGCCTAACTGGCTTGCTTTGGTCTGCAGCAGCACAACTCAGAAGTTCCGTGCTTCTTGCAATCTAGTGTGGATGTTGATTCAGCTACCTGAATCTGCCAGCCTCTTGGACAGTGAACTGAAAAAAGTGTAAGGAAGAACACCACTCCGTGAAACAAGATATATGATAAATGTTAGATACGCAGCCGTGCCACTGCAGACCACAAGAGCAAACAGCACTCCTCTGACTTCAGAAATGATGAAATCCAACAACAGATAGCCATTGATCACCATCACCAAAACAGCCACAGTCCATGCCACTTTCTGCAACATAGATCTTGTCAATGAAACGCTTTACTTAACTAGTATCACTCCAATTTTCAGATTACAAAAAGTAAATGTTTTTTTAGCGTGCAAAATGAGCTGCTGAAAACCATAGGATTAGATGTCTTCTCTTTAGAGTCCAAAAGAAATATGAAAGCTGAATTTGTGGATTTCAGAGCGATCCAAGATCCATATCAATCATGACTGCTTATTACTGAATAGATGGAGCAAAAACTATATAACGAAATGACTGTTCACTTAAAGCTATAAAGAGTACGGCCGAAAAGATAGAATAACGAAGTTAACAACATACCTCGAGAACAGGTCCAATCTTAAAGACCCCCATGACCTGCTCCTTGGACACCAAGGTAAGAAGTGGAATAAGAGCAAAAGGAATCTGAATCGACTGAAGGACATTGAGCCATTCATTCAAAACATCCAACGAAGCCTCAGATCTGTTAAAAATAATTGCTACAATTATAGTAGGCACAATTGCAAAACTCCGTGTGATCAATGCCCTCAGCCACTTCTTCAAACGGAGATTAAGGAATCCTCCCATTATAAACTGCCCAGCATACGTCCCCGTAATTGTGCTACTTTGTCCAGCCGCCAATAACCCAATACCCCAGATATAAAGAATCGGATAAAGCCCTCCTCCATACTTCTCCTGAAGAAATTGACCTGCATTTACTAGTCCTATACTGTCCGCTTGTTTCGTACCATAGAATCCCTTCGCAAAAACAGTGGTGACAAACAAATTGATCATGAAGGAGATCAAAAGTGCAATTGATGACTCAATTGAGTAGTAGTTTAGTGCCTCTTGAACCCGTCCTTTCTTGTTCGGATCAATATTTCTTGACTGCACCAGAGCAGAATGCAAAAATACATTGTGTGGCATAATGACACAACCCACAACTCCCACAGCCTGCCGAATTGTTTTCGAGCTAAGTCTTGGAACCACAATACCTGCGAGGAGGAGGCAGTGGATCAACACATATCAGTACACCCCATAGTATTATAGTTTACTAATTTCAACATGTACTTTGCATAATAAAGTACAATTTTACCCATTAAAAGTTCTTTCCCACTCGGTTTTGTGTCAACAAACATCCAGGCAAACGATAAACCCATAGTTGCTATGAGAACTGCAAACACAGCTTCCAACTTCCTCACCCCATAGTTCTCAAGAAATAAAAAGATGAAACTGTTGCACAAAAGAGAAAACACAAAACCCTAGTTAACAGAATTATCCCTACATGGCCAAAACCAGCCAACTCCCATACCCATTCACCATAAAAAAAGATATGAACTTGTCAATTGAAACATAAATTTACCACGAAACACTAAGAAATCTTTCATATATCTGCAATTTTCACTGATAAGTAATTGAATTCTTCGAAACCATGAATCACCAACCCCTACTCATTGTAATTAAGTTGAATTTTCATCAAAAAGTTGAGTTTTAATTGTGAGAGAATATTAAAGCCAACCAACTGGAATTTAACTCGATTCCAAATTTCCAATCCAATGCCACTTGATCAGCTCATTGTCCCAATAAACAGCATAAGTTCTTTTCAATCAATAGAAAATTAGCTACAAGATTAAAGATTCAACCAAAAGTCAAGCTGAAAAATCACTACCCCACTTAATGACCCGCTTATTTCAACATAATTAAGTAAAGAAAACCCAAAATACAAAAACAAATCAACAAGCATTTGACAATTAGAGATAACAAAAATCCCAAATCAAGAGTTAAAACGAGATTAACATAAGTAATTACTAAATACCAACCAATCCAACGCCGTAATCAGAACTCCAGCCCATAGTGGCAAGAACCCATGGCTCAGAATCTGAATCGCAATGGCGCTCCCAATGACCTCCTGAATATCCGCCCCAATCAACGCCAGCTCCGCCATGAACCAGAGCACCAACCCAGCCCATTTCGGATACTCCTCCCTGCAAAGCTCCGCCAAGTGCCGACCCGTCGCGACCCCGACCCGGGCGGAGAGCAGCTGGACCAGGAGCCCCATGGCGGTGGCCCACATTAAAAGCCAGAGCAGCGAGTACCCGGCAATTGCGCCCGACTGGAGATCCCCTTCTAAATTGCCCGGATCTAGAAATGCTATGCTCATCAGAAAACCCGGACCGGTGAACAGCCACAGCTTCTTCCACGAAAAAGGCGGGACCGCCGTGGAATCGTCGTCAACGGCGTCGTCGACGATCAGGATCTTCTCCCGCGCCTCGAAGGCCACCTCCTCCTCGCCGTCGTCCCATGTCGACGACGATGACAGCGAGAGCGACTGCGGCTGCAGCAGGCGGTTAGCTTCGTCGTCGTCGACGTCGTCTCGCAGCTTCAACGACTCGTCGTCGTGTTCGCGCAATTGGGCGCTCATGGTTTTTGTTCGTTAGTCGTCAACCGAAACGGAAACGCTTCCGTACCGGCGTTTTTTTATTTTATTTTATTTTATTTTTGGGTTTTATTATTGAGTTGGGATGGACTGTTGGGGACAGTGTTGGATTTGCGGCCCGACTGTGAGACGGGTCGGATTTTGTGGCTTGTGGAGTTGAACAGTCGCTTTTTGACGTGGAAAAGAGAATATTTTGTTTTTCTGGCCATTAGGAGGTTGACACGTGTAGTCATGGAAGTTTCTCTTTACCTTTGCCGTTTGGGAGCAAGCAAGGGATCAACTTAATTTTTGTTTCTTGCACTTCATGGACGACGAAGTTCAGAATGATGAAATTTAAAGTTTATGTTTATAAAAGACATATTATATAGATAAGTGATACTGATCGATAACAAACTAAATAAACCTCAGCGCTTTTAATAAAGAAGGCATTTCCCATAAAATTAATCTTCATTATTGCACCCTCATTGGGGGTTCTTTCTTCTCAAGGAAGACAGAAGAATTTATACACAACTCTGCAAGTGATTGAAATTTTCAAAAACATGAGGCAATCACCATTCGAGTTCACTAGACAGCTTCTTCTCCATGCTCCAGTGTTTGCTGGTAAATAAACTGCACCCGAATCGCTCTCTTCCACGCGGTTTGATCCGAAAAAGAAAATCTCCGTGTGTTTATTGAACAGTAAGGCAGTGGATTTTTGCATATAAGTTAGAGTTTAATGGCACTCATTCTGTACATATACAACTATTCTCTTTCCACACCCAAAAAATAAGATCCTCTCAATCACACTAATCACAAAACTTCACAGACCTTGGCTTCAGGGGTTGAACAATTTTCTCACTTTGTGAATCAGCCTTCTGCACATTGGACACACCTTATTCTCCCCGTCCATGATCCTGCAAGATTCATTTCGGTAAAAACCTACATGTGTGAAAGAAGAATACGAAAGTGAGCGGTGTATCTATATCGGTGTATATATGTACCTTTGAGCACAGTCATAGCAAGTGGCACAATGACCACAAGGAACGAAGAAGGAATTGCGCTGCTCGTCGTAACAGATTACGCATAATTTTTCGTCGTATAATTCCTCCGAGGAGCTACTAGAAGCTCCTGAATCTTCATCTTCTTCATTTGTCCCGTATGTCTGTCGAAGAATCGTCTTCTGCGGCACTATAGGGTAAGTCTCGTTAACTTCTTCCACTGCTGTTTCAACTAAAGTACGATCCTCACCATCACAGGCTCCAAGGTATTTCAGTATCAGAAAAATAACCACCACAATAAACCCTGAAAGTTGGACATAAATAAATGATTGAAGCAATTACAAATTACTGAAAAAAATACTGAAAGCTCAACAGAACTGAGGTCTATTTCTGATTTCGTACCTAAAATCGCAATGTAGGTTACTACGCGAGCCACAAATGAAAGCTCGATGTACCATTCACCAAGATCTCCCTGCAGCAACTTTGTTGGTTACGTTGGCACAAAATTAGTAACAATTTGAGACAATGTATGAGATCTGGCCTTACATTGTTAGGTGTTGTTAGTATGACATAGTGAGTATTGGGGAATACGAGGCTGAGCCGGCAAGACCCCTTCGTTGTTGAACAGACGTCCTTAGCTTTCGTAACATCATACATCGTTGATGAAACACTTACATTCACTAATGCAATTAGGCTCCTGGGATCTGTGTTTATGAATTCAAGGTAGTACTTGTCATCTTCCTCAATATTGTACTCAGCTTCTTTACCTGAACAAAAAACGCTTATGATGATCATTTTGCACATAAACTTTGTGATCAGTGTTTTCAGGCTACTCGAATACGTTTTTTCACTTTCTGAAATCTAATTGTGCAACAATAGTTTCAAAAATGAAAAATCTGTTACCGATTTTGGGTTCATTGAGGGCGAGGCTGTCCTGAGAACTTGTTTGTTCCGGCTGCAATATTTCGACGTTTTGTTCCCCTGTCAAAACGTGCATTGCATTTGTTTTATGATGAGTCTAAAATGTAATCAAGCTGCAAACAACAAACGATATTTTCTTACGGAAGCATGACAGTTTTCATTAAATTTGCTCACCAAATGACGTTTCCTTTTATTTAAATTTGGGTTCATAATGTAACCGAAACAGAAAATTTTGGGTTCATAGTAAAATGCTGACATGTGTATTGATGCAGTCTTTGGAGAACAAATTTGACGAACAAAATTGGTCAAGAAAATAAATTGCAAATTGAAAAATTACCTTTAAGCATAACAACTTGTAGTTGATTTAAGATAGTAGCATGAGCTTCCAATTTCATGGACAAACTTGAACCCTTGTTCAACCAGAAGGAAAATCCCTGAACACAAAATTTCAACCTCTCTGGAGATCCAAATCAATAATTTGGAGGGAAAATGCAGAATTTGGGAAAAATCCAAAACCCTAAAGCAAACGGTTTGATTTAAAATAAAATGTAAATTTTCAGTTCCTACCTTGCGATTGTATGATCCAAGAATCAAGTAATCGTGCACGCTCCAATTTGATTGGGGGTTCAATTTAGGCTCCTCCGAGAAAGCGTAGAGAGAAACCCCTTTCCTGTCAACGTCTCTCACTTCAACATGTTTGACAAACACGGCACTAGCCTTCATCAATCGCGACGAGCTCGGCCCAAGTTCCATCCGGCGGTCGCCATAGTACCCGTATCGGAGACTCACCGAAACTGCCAAAAAACAAGTGAAATGCTTTGTTGAGATGGAAGGGTTAGCGGAGGAAAACTGGTACTGAAGATAAAAAATTTCTGTGTACATGCCACATATCCAGAGGGTCAGAGGAGTGAGGAGTCGAGCCCAAGTCTCTTGGCACCGCTGAGGCCTGGCCGGAGGCGTCGGGTGGGCCCACATCGAGCGGTACATGGCTGCGAAGAAGGATGGCGTGGTAGCAGAGAGAGGTAGGGAGAGAGGGGGAGGTGTGAGAGGAAATTGTTGTTCTGCTGGAGGAGAGGAGAGGAACCCTTGGGGGATTGGTGGGAAGAAGACCAGTAGCTTTACGTTTGGTAGTTGGTTCTTCCATAAGCTCAACTAACCGTTTTTTGAAGTGGTGGGCGCAAACTTTGAATGGCAAGTTTTATGAACGTTAGGTGTTAATTTCTGTTTTGGGCAATCTTGTACTTGTAAGTTGTAACTCGAGACATATTTCTCACTTCTCATCGTGTGTTTAATATAAGAATCTTAAAAGTGAACATTTTTTTTATTGTTTGAAAAACAATAAGATAATTACATTAGATTCATTTAAATCGACATTTTATATAATGAAAAATACTGATATAGCCAACGATTTTGTTGATTAATTGTTTTTATAAAGGTGGTGTAGCTGTCTATCATTTATTGAAATCTTAAGCATTGAATCTCTAGGTTCGATAATGAGCATTGAATCTCCAAATCGATCCCCAACATCGGGTCCTCAAGCTTGGGTCCGAACTCTAAGTTCTCGGCTCAAGATCATGACACAATGAAAAATCTCTCACCAAACTATTGAGTCTTTTCTCAGGATGCCGTCCGACGCTGGAATTGAAGGCGCTGTTTGTGTTTTTGAATTGAAGGCGCTGTTTTTGTTTTTATGTACATTGGATGTCTTTGTATGGTCTATTTAAAATTATTCAAGCAGCTGTCTTGTTCGATACCATCGCTACAATTTTGTACGCTTCCCTTTCATCTCTATCAATGCTAATCAGTGACTAAAATTCAAGATAAAGTAAGATTAACTTTTCATGAACTAATAAGATACTAAGATATTGATCTTATATTAACAAGAAAAAACAGCTCCAGCATCTCAACATATCAATGGAAACTTCATTCTTCTTCTCCTTCCACCTTTTGCTCTTCATTTTCTTTCTTTTTCTCAAAAACTATTTGCAGAAAATTAACCAAAAACTCCCACCAAGCCCTTCTCTTTGTTTCCCCGTCGTAGGCCATCTCTACCTCTTCAAAAAACCCCTCCACAGAACACTTGCTGAACTCTCCAACAAACATGGACCAATCACATACCTCCGATTCGGCTCCCGCCCTGTCCTCCTCGTATCCTCACCTTCGGCGGCTGAGGAATGCTTCACCAAAAACGACATCGCTTTTGCTAACCGCCCGAAGCTGCTTGCCGGAAAACACCTCGGATACAACTACACCACCCTCGCCTGGGCCTCTTATATTGGAGTTTGAGACCCTCTTGTCCCACATTGGTCAACAGTATTTTTTCACTAGCCTTTATATAGACTTATTCTCTTTTCTTAGTAATTAGAACTTGGACCATTTGGAAATGAATTGAAGGCTTGGACCATTAAAATATACAGCTATTAGAAAGAGTTGTGTGCTTTCAAATACACTGAACAGGTATTTGAAAGGCTGCTGAAACAGCCTATATATTTGCAATCACATTATCCAAGTGAGTATGAGTATGATCTTTTCTTCCCTGAAACAAAATTTCCAGAGAGTAAACACACAAAGCAATTCGCTAGAGTTCTATAATCCAGGTTGTAGAATTAGGTAGTTGTATCCTGGTCGAGCAGACGTTGTAGAACCACAAGCACAAGAGTGAGACGAAAATACTGTTCGAATGACATAGCGTAAGCACAAGAGTAAGACGAAAATACTGTTCGAAGGACATAACTTTTACGCTAGCCTCTACCTTCTGTGATCAAGTTAGTATCATTGATATTTTTATATTAGTTTATGTATTTATTGTATAATTTCATTCTGCACATCAAGTATATTTGGTTAATAAAATATTAAAATTTCAAGTTTTGTTTGATTCTGTTATTTTTTGTTTATTTCTAAATTGTTCTCCAACATCTTACGGCTCCCACTGGCGCAACTTGAGACGCATAGCGTCCCTGGAGTTATTGTCATCTAATCGAGTTCAGATACTTTCTAGCATCCGTCTCGATGAAGTCAGGTCCTTGATTTCCCGGCTCTTTCGAGGCGCGAAAGGCGGCAGCGAATTCAGAGTTTGGACATGAAGTCGGCGTTTTTCGAGCTGACTCTTAATGTTCTGATGAGGATGGTTGCGGGAAAGCGGTGCCATGGGGAAAATGTGGCGGACTTAGAGGAGATTATTGCTGAGAACTTTCGGTTGAGTGGCGCTACCAATCTTGGAGATTTTCTGCCGGTTTTGAAGTATGTGGGGGTAAGTGGCCTTGAGAAGAAATTGATGACACTCCACAAGAAAATGGAAAAATTCATGCAAGATTTGATCCAAGAGCGCAGAGAAAAGCAGAGTGGCTCTGTTTCTGAACAAAGGAGCAAGTCCATGGTGGACGTCTTGCTTGCTCTGCAAGAAACTGAACCGGAATATTATACTGATGAGATCGTAATAGGCATGATGCAAGTAAGCTCTCTCAACAAAAAAAAAAAAAAAATCTTTGAATTTAAAGAACAATTGCAGTAATTTTCTGCTTAAAGATAATGAATTGTTTAATTGGTTTGGACGAAGATAACGTCCAATATTTGTTGTGTTATAATGCATCCAAGTTGCATTAAGGACTTGCCTGCACCAGGTACGCCGTTGTAGTGCAATATTCTAAATCAATAGCACAATGTAATGTGTTTTAACTATTGCACATGAAAGTTTGTTATTGGTTCATAATACCGTCACAGTCGCATAACCAGTGTAGTTAAGTAAGTCTCTCTCCAAGCTACAATATAAAATTTAAGACAAAAACTACTAGTGTCAGCAAGTCTTACAAGGACTTGAGTTTGAGAGAGTCTAAACAGAGATCTTCAGTTTCCTAAACTCCTAATTAGACTGCTTGACCAAAACATGTATACACAATTGTACCCAGGTCATGTTAGCAGCAGGGACAGACACCTCATCTGGAACCATGGAATGGGCTCTATCACTTTTGCTCAACAACCCAGAAGCCCTAGCAAAAACTCAGACTGAAATGGATATCCACATTGGGCAATGCAGGGTACTTGAGGAGTCCGACCTCGCCAAGCTTCCGTATCTCCACGGCATCATCAATGAAACCCTCCGGATGTACCCAGCAGGCCCTTTGCTTGCCCCACACGAGTCATTCGAGGACTGCACAGTGGGGGGTTTCCACGTTCCACGTGGCACGATGTTGCTGATGAACTTATGGGCCATACAGAACAATCCAAAGCTGTGGGCACAGCCTGGACAATTTAAACCAGAGAGGTTTGTGAATGGACAAGGGGAAAGAGATGGTTTTGGGTTGTTGCCGTTTGGGACCGGGAGGAGGGGCTGCCCTGGGGAAGGGTTAGCAATGAGGATGGTTGGACTTGCCTTAGGGTCTCTGATTCAGTGTTTTGAATGGGAGAGGATTGGGGAGGAGATGGTGGACATGACTGAAGGGCCTGGACTCACCACGCCTGAAGCTCTCCCTTTAATTGCAAACACGCCGAAAAATGCTTGCCCTGCTTTCTCAACTCTAAGAATACCCAGTGGACCTTTTTGGTGGTTGTTTCATATCTGTCTTCTTCATAAGCATTTGGATGGTACAGTAGATAGGGTTTTTAACGCAAATGATTCTTGCGTGGATGGTGAAATACACGACTTTGTTATCGTGCTTTACAATTCACACAGCACGTCAATGTCATCACGACTGCTAAATTTTGTTAAGGATGTGATATTCATGTACTCATTTTTACTTCTGACATACTTTTTCAATTTTCAACTATTTGATCAGATGAATTGAATAATATCAAATGACATAAATTAACAAAGGATGTGTGAGAAGTAAAAAAATGATGTGTGGATAGCACGCACCTTTTGTTAAAAGAGATGTGTGGATAGAGCACCCATTTTGTGTGATGATATCGCACACATCTGGAGCCACAAGATGTCGGTTGTGCCTAGCTTCTACTAATTGTGTCTAGCTTCTACTAATCTAATGCATACATTCAAATCAATGAATTAAACAATAAGATACAATTACGCACAAATAATATGACTATTTACAGAATTCATATTATATTCCATTACAATTATCATTATCACGTGATAAATTAATGACATTAAAGAATTTCACCATAAAGTAGGGTTGCTTGTTCGATGCCATAACTAGATTTCAACATCTCTCTTCCATCTTATTTTTCAACAACTAATAAGATTTTTTTTTTTTTTTCAAGTGGGGTTGCTTGTTCGATGCCATCACTAGATTTCAACATCTGTCTTCCATCTTACTTTTCAACAACTAATAAGAAATTTGACTAATTTTTCATATAATCCTTGAAATGTTAAACAATCAATATATTATAGAAAAATGAAACTTCAAACATAACTGTTAAAAGAAAGGTGTGGATAGAGCACCCTTATCTTAAGAAGTACACACAGCTTGCAGACAACAGCATATCAATGGAAACTTCGTTCTTCTTCTTCTTCTACTTTTTGCTTTTCATTTTCTTTCTTTTCCTCAAAAACTATTTGCAGAAAATTAACAAAAAACTCCCACCAAGCCCCTCTCTTTGTTTCCCAGTCATAGGCCATCTCTACCTCTTCAAAAAACCCCTCCACAGAACACTTGCCAAACTCTCCAACAAACATGGACCAATATCATATCTCCGATTCGGCTCCCGCCCGGTCCTCCTCGTATCTTCACCGTCCGCGGCTAAGGAATGCTTCACCAAAAACGACATCACTTTTGCCAACCGCCCTAAGTTCCTCGCAGGAAAACACCTCGGATACAACTACACCTCCCTCACCTGGGCCTCCTACGGCTCCCACTGGCGCAACTTGCGACGCATAACCTCCCTCGAGTTATTGTCGTCCAACCGCCTTCAGATGTTTCACGGTATCCGTGCAGATGAAGTTAGGTCGTTGATTTGCCTGCTTTTCCGAGGTTCTAACGGCCGTGAATTTCAGAGTTTCGAGATGAAGTCAACGTTTTTTGAGCTGACACTTAATGTTGTGATGAGGATGATTGCCGGAAAGCGGTACTATGGCGAGCATATGGCGGATTTGGAGCAAGCAAAGCGGTTTAAACAGATCGTGACGGAAAGCTTTGAGCTTAGCGGGGTTACGAATATCGGAGATTTTGTGCCTGTTTTGAAGTATTTGGGAGTAACGGGGCTTGAGAAGAAGTTGGTGATATTGCAGAAGAAAAGGGATGGATTCATGCAAGATTTGATAGAAGAACATAGAAAATTGCAGAGTGGATCTGTTTCTGAACAGAGGAGGAAGACAATGGTGGAAGTTTTGCTTTCCCTGCAAGAAACTGAACCCGAATATTATACAGATGAGATCATAAGAGGCATCATGCAAGTAAGTTCTCTTGTCCAAAATTTTTGAACTGCAGAATCAGATGCATTAAGTTTGTGCTTAAAGATAATGTTTTTTTAGTTTGTTTGGGTGAATACAATGTTCAACTAAATCTAAGAAATATAATAATAGAAATTTAGTTTGTTTGGGTGAATACAATGTTCAACTAGATCTAAGAAATATAAAAAATAGAAATTTAGTTTTGGTCAATAAATACTGAGTAGTGCTATTCACACATATGTTTACTTCTCATGTACTTCTCTTAATTTTTAGTCATCAGATCAAATAAATTGAAAAAAAAATCAATGACAAAAAAATTACAAGAGTGTGTGCAGGAATAATGTAAAGTTTAGTTAGTGTATATTTTATTGTTTAACATCTGGATATCTCAAATTTAACTAAGGTCAATGCCCCACTTTTTATGTAGTTAAAACTTATTTTTCAAATAAAAAAAATGAGAATGTCACTCTAACAGTATTTTAAATACGTTACGCAATGTAGTATGTTTTAATTTTTTTTACGTAACACTTTGTGATCATCTTGTTATGAAACAACAATGATATTGACATTCTTGTCGCGAAGAAGTCCTTCTCGCATATTAGACCGCTCCACCAAACCAGTTAGGTATATATGCTAGTTCACACTTCATAATCTGAAATAAACCTTATGGCTTAAGACTTTTTGCGCAATTCCACCCACAGGTCATGTTATCGGCAGCGACAGACACCTCATCAGGAACCATGGAATGGGCTCTATCCCTTTTGCTCAACAACCCAGAAGCCCTTGCAAAAGCCCAGGCTGAAATTGATATCCACATTGGACAAAGCTGCAGGCTTGTTGAGGAATCAGACCTTCCCAAGTTACCCCATCTCCAAGGCATCATAAACGAAACCCTCCGAATGTACCCAGCAGGCCCACTGCTAGTCCCCCACGAATCATCAGATGACTGCTCTGTGGGCGGCTTCCACGTCCCACGTGGAACCATGTTGTTAGTGAACATATGGGCCATACAACATCATCCAAAGTTGTGGGCACAACCTGACCAATTTAAGCCAGAGAGGTTCCAAAACCTGCAAGAGGCAAGAGATGGTTTTGTTTGGTTGCCATTTGGGGCGGGGAGGAGGGGCTGCCCCGGGGAAGGCTTAGCGACTCGGATAGTCGGGCTGGCTCTAGGATCATTGATTCAGTGTTTTGATTGGGAGAGAGTTGGCGAGGAAATGGTGGACATGAGTGAAGGTACTGGTCTCAGCATGCCTAGAGCTCACCCATTACTCGCAAAGTGTAGGCCACGCCCAAAAATGCTTGCCCTGCTATCTCAACTCTAAATGGGCCAATGCATGTTTTCGTACCCCGTTCTCTAATAACAACCGATATTCCAAAATATAGAAGCCATGTCCATCATGTGAAAGCTTTCTTAACCTAAATCCCCTTCTATTGGGATTTAGGTTTTGTTTTGAGTTGTCATCTTTTATTTACAATATCAGTCTTTTGTCTATGCTAAGAAAAAAAGATGATATTCTAACCAAAATCTTCGTTCACATAAAAAACAAAAGCAAAGACAATTCCATATAGAAATTAAACTTTTATTATACATATAAGAAAAAACTAAAATCACATCAAACCTTTTATAAATTCCTCCATTAATTAGCTCATGGGTTGAAATTTGAAACAATTCAGCAGAAGATTTGATCTCAGTGAAAAATATCCGTAAAAAAATCTCGAATCTCACAATATTGTAACTTATGAAACCTGCAGCCCAAAATCTCATAATATTGTATTTTTTGAATTATGAAACCTGCAACCCAAACAGCTCTCGGTGTAGTTAGCTGTTGCATTATTGTCCTGCTAAGTGTTAGTGGCAGAAAAATAGATACGGCGAGATGATGCTGGAAGGAGGAAGAGGTCCGAAGGCTTCTTGATGAAAATGAGGCTCAAGCTATCCTGGTGCAGAGTTTTTATGGGTGTCGAGATAAATTAGTATGGCACTATACTAAACATGGTCGATATTCGGTTAAAAGTGGATATGAGTTGGCACAAAGTATGGAGAGGAATGGGGAATTGGGGAGACGGGGAGATGGGGAATCAAGCACTTAAGGTGTCCGAGATAAGGTGTGGAATGATATTGTTCAGATCAAAATTGTCCTTATACACTCGTTCGAAACCTCGGGTGTACGATAAAGTGAATCCTGATTGACAAGGACGACGACCTGATGATCGTGAAGCTGTTCAGCTGTTGGATGATCAAATCACGGACCACCGTCTCACTGGAAATCTGCCGAAATGCCAATGAGTAAGGGTTGGTGAGGTTGGAAACGGTGGAACCGCGGAAGTAGAAGATCGGTAAGCGTGGGTGGAAGACGAAAAGAAGGCGGAGAGGAGAGGAGGCTGCCAAGTCGGATCCCCGAAAGAAGTGATGCTAGATTTCTCCATCACGTAGACGTAGTCAATCTTAATCGTCCTCAGGGAATGGTGGTTTTCCACACTCTCTCTCTCGTTTTCAGCACATGCATATTTATCACTGCAACTCAGTCTTAAACCATCACTTCATAATTGTAATGGCATACTGACAACCATGCAAATACATATAAATACACAATCATACACGCAATTGCCCAGTGTACCTTTATAAAGCTAACTTTATGTTGCCTTTAACCTTAATCACTGGATACTAGCTTTTCAAGCTTCCTACGTACTCATACGAAACCAACATGCTCTTTGGAACATAAGTCAGTTGTACCAATATATATTATAAACTGAATCAACATGGAATTAATTATTTACAATAACGACAGGGAAAATAAGATAAGCCAAGCATCACCATAGGGAAAATAAGATAAGCCGCATCAGGTCCAGATGCTATCAAAATTACGTAGCAGCGCTTTCTTTACTCCCACATTTCAGTTGATTCAAAACCATCATGCACACCAATGTTTGCAACGTGGGCATCCTTATCATACACTTCCACATTTCAATAGCCGTAAAAATGTTATACCCTAAAAGATCTCAAACCATTCACGCATTCCTCTCTTTGGAAAAGAATATTGACATGTGTTGAGTTTTAAATTCATAATTTACACAATCCAATGTTGGAGAACAATTCACTTTGGTGAAAAACATATGTACACAAGTTGATACTACAAGGTTATACTTTATACATATATTTGTGTCTTTGCATTTGTTCATCTCAAGCTTAAGCAATGTAGGGCAACACATTCCTTATTTAAACACATAATATGTCAATTTTGCTTCATGTTTGCAGAACTCGAGAATTTTAATCCATATTGATTATTTCCCACAACAACCAATAATATGGCTATTCAATTCAGTTAATATATATTTACTATACATTATCATAGAGCACAGCAGGCTAAGAAAATGATTTACATAAATTTACTTTACCTGTTCAAATGGAAATCAAAGGCAACAGACTTACCCATGTAAGGGTTATGTCAGGCATCAATCACATATAGAAATAACATGTATGATTCTTACTCCCATAGATGAATCAATTACATGCACTACAAACCAATATCAGGTATTTCTATTTTTCCTTTCATTTACTCACACACATACAATTTTTGAGCGATTGATAACTTGATAATAAGAAAACTAAGGCGTTTTGGATCAGATTAAACCAAAATAGTGATAGGTTGATTCCATCAAAATTCAGATGCCAATCAGATTAAATCACTCATAAATACATCAAAATTTAGTGATTCTCACAATCTGGTGCGCTTGGGTGTACGCAACCTCTACACCCATCAAGAAGAGCCTTTGCCTTTCCTTTTCTTGCAATGAATAAAAATTTGGTTGTCGAAGACATGAAGAACTTGAAACAACCATTAGTGATTGTTAAATGCATGTTTATATCATACATTTGGGCAAGAGATATAAACTGTCATTGACCTTCATTGTATAGCCATCATTCAAGAATCTTATCATGCATTTATTACAAGTCTTTGGACAAGAATATGGCATGACCTACATGAACAGACCAGTTACCTTTTAGAAATAACCCAAGGGTCCCCTCACTGTGCCTCCGAAGATCATCTATCCATGTAGAGTATGGATATGAAATTGCATTCAACTGAACTCATTCCAACAATTGTGTAGATGAAGAACTAGTGTTGAGAGGAGACCTAGATAGAGCATAAGCATCTTGGTTGTCTTTTCCTTGTTTGAACTGGATTTCATAATCAAATCCCAATAGCTTAATTACCCATTTCTGCTGGGAATGTGTATGTGTTCTTCCCTGAAGAAAGTACTTCAAACTGTGGTGGTCTGTCTGTATAATGAAATGATTCCCTATCAAATATGACTGCCATTTACGAATAGTATGGATAATGGCAATCATATCTCTTTCATAGGCAGATAATGATTGATTTCTTGGACATAAAGCCTTGCTGGTAAAAGCAATTGGTCTCCCTTCCTGTTGAAGCACTGCACCAATACATGTACCAGATGCATCACTTTCGATAATGAAAGGCTTGCTGAAATTTGGTAATGCAAGTACTTGAGGAGAGAGCATGGCTTGTTTCAAAGTGTGAAAGGCTTCAGTAGCATCTTGGGTCCAATAGAAGTTGTCTTTCTTGGTTAGTGAAGTTAAATGCCCAATAATCTTACCAAAATCAGGAATAAACTTCCTATAGTAACCTGTTAAACCCATGAACCCTCTCAAAGCTTTAACAGATGTTGGAATAGGCCAATTAGCAATGGCTTCCAATTTGCTCGGATATGTAGCAACACCTTCCTTGGAAACAATATGTCCCAAATATTCGACCTGAAATTTGCCAAATGCACACTTTGATTGCTTGATATATAAGTTATCCATCCTCAGTGTATCAAATACCGTTTTCAAATGAGACAGATGGAGAGACCAAGAAGGACTATACACCAAAATGTCATCAAAGAATACTAGGATGAAGTTCCTGAGATATGGTCTAAATAACTCATTCATAAGGCACTGAAATGTGGCTGGGGCATTGGTTAAACCAAATGGCATTACCAAAAATTCATAGTGCCCATCAAGTTGTTTTCTCAATATCATTAGGGTTCATACGGATTTGATGATACCCAACTTGTCGATCTAATTTAGAAAAGAAGTGTGCACCAAACAATTCATCCAATAGTTCATCTATAAGAGGGATTGGAAACTTGTCTTTCACATTGATGTCATTGAGGCCTCTATAATTCATACACATACGCCATGTTCCTTATTTCTTTCGTACCAATATAACTGGAGAAGAATAGGGGCTATTGCTGACCCTAATAAACCCAGCATGCAGCAATTTTTTCACACATTACTCTATCTCACTTTGCTGCACTTGACCATATTGATAAGGCCTACTATTAGGTGGTTTGCTACCCTCAATTAATGAGATCCCTGTGATCTTGATTTTTATGAAGGTGTAAACTACTTGGAGTGGCAAAGATAACGTCATGTTCCTTCAAAAGTTGATGCAATTGCTGAAGTTGGTATGTGGACAAATTATCCGAATTAGCAATCACCATCTGTTGGGTTTTGAATTCTTCTGCTGTTATGTGACATAAAACTGCTCCTATCGTGGACTCTTGCTGCAACAATTTAGTCATTTGCAGGGCTGAAATATTTTTTAGTTGCTCGGATGGTACCTCAGGACTACCAATGCAATAAGTCACTGCCCCTTTTTGGAACTTCATATACGGTTTTTCAAAGTCCTCAAGAACTGAACCCAAGGTTCTAAACCATTGTACTCCAAGCACAACATCACAACCTCCCAAATGAATGGCATACAAGTATGTGATACAATTGTAGTTCTGAATCTTAACAGAAATCTGAGCCAATGTACCATGAGTCGACACCTTACCCCCATCAGCTAGCTTCACATTAAAAGTATGCCCTGTGTTAAGATTACCCTTCACCCGTTTTACCAAGCCAAGATCTACAAAGTTATGAGAACTCCCCGAGTCAATAAGAATGGTAACATGACAGTTCTTGATAAACCCATTAACCTTCATAATTTTAATGGTTGGTGGTGCAGGTATTCCATATAATGCACAAGCTGTGATTTCTAGCTCTTCATTATCCACATCTTCACTAACACAAGAATCCGAATCTTGAACATCAATTAAAAGCAACTGTTTCTTATCATAGGTATGCCCCTTAAAATACTTATCCTTGCAATGAAAACATAAACCATTCTTCATATAGAAATCTACCATTTCAGGAGTTAACTTTCTCACACTAGGAGCTTTAGGTTTATTCTCAGGCATAGCATTGGAATTCAACGTTTGTAAAGGTGTACGAAAAGTGGATTGAATTGTAGAATTCTTGGAGAAAGATTTCACCCTTAAGTATGATAATTTGGCATCCAACTGCTGTGCAATGGCTAAGGCTTCTAGTACATCTTTAGGCTTCAAGATCTTGACATCGTGTCTGAGTTCTGGTTTTAAACCCCCAATAAAGCAAGACTTGAGAAGCGCTTGACCGATTTCTCTCGTTCGATTAGCTAGGTG